ATACGACACGCATTTCAGGGACGGATATGCGCGCTACCACTACAACGACATCCACAGGAGCGTTTCCGGTGCAAAGCTCAGCAAGTTGCAGCAGCCGCCGAGGACGTCGGCTCCCCGGAGGGGAGGGATGTCAGAGGGCGCGGATCACCAACCTACCGATCTCCAGTGGCGGGAAGAAAAGCCCGCGCTGACCCCCTCGGCAGGGTATAAATACCGGGAGTCAGGGGGAGCCTCAGAGTGCGCTGAGGAAGCGCTAGCGGGAGCTAACTCCGTCGAAGAGAGGCGGATCTCCCCCTTAGATAGAGAGTAACTAGTAAGCCTGCCGAAGTGGTCAAGAGGGTAATGCCCGTCGTTTCGTTGTTAAGCCTGTTCAAGTTACACGTTCTTGTTTTCTTGTTGTTTATTGCCGTTTTCTGAGATAAATAATTAGTCGTTCAATCCGTGTAGTCTGTCGATCCGGTTAAAACCGTCATACCACTAGACCACCCCCGGTTACAACCAAAAAATCAGTAATTTTCTCCTTTTTCTCTCTTCTTCTTCTTTCTTGTTCTCACACTGCTGAATGATTTAGTTAGTATAGTAGTTATAGTTACAGAACGGAGCGGGCTTCACAATCGAGGTATGTGTGATTCGGCTGCAGGCATAGCCAGCAGAGCCTGTTGCGAGTGACAAACACTCTACATTGTACTGATTGGGGTTGCTTTAATCTGCATTATGAACCTATCAAACCACATCAGATTGGAATACTCACTCAGTTGTTCTTTCGCTACGCAAGATGGTTTGAGCACTTATTTATTGATATTGTCGGCGAGCAGCTCTCAAGTCTTTGAAAAAAGATTGAAGAAGGCAATTCTGCGTACTTCTGAGCAGCGAAACTTCTTCCTGATCATGTTGCCTTTCACTGTGTTGTGCCTCAGGTCTTAAGGATGCGTGGTGCAGTTTTCTTAGGTGTGTCCTCAGGCTGGATTTTCTGAACATTCTGCTTTTTGCTTCCGTTTCCTCTCAATTTTTGTTATTTCTCATTTCAGGTTTTTTTTTAAGTTCAAGCTCTTCACTACGTTATCGTTCGGCTAATTCTACTCTGGCACACACTTCCAAATATATCACCCAGATGCTCACTCTGTGATGACCGTGTATTGAGAGAATGTAACTCAAACGCTTCTCATTTTTTTGGTTCATGTTAGTTAGTAGTGCATTTTAAAATTTACCACTGCATTTAAATGTCAACTAATTTCTATCCTTTATCAACTTATTTCCTTCCGAGAACTTACTAATCCTCGAATTTTTTTGCTGCGACAAAACTACAGCTATAATTGAGGCTAGATTGTTATGATGGTGAATACCTGACCTGGGTCAATCTAATCTCGCCCCCTCGAAGACTACACTGCACTTGGGGCGGTAGCATTCCCCTACTTTTGCGACTCAAACTGTCGATATTCTGGTCTTCTAGTTGCTTTTTGTTGCTACTGCACTAACCATAGGAAGTGTAAGTGTGACAGACAATTTCTTCTTTTTTTTAATCGAGTTTTTTCATTCTGTTATATTGTTTTGGAGTTGTCTTGGTTAGCTATGATTACAGTGATGCGTGGCAACATTGAATCATTTGAAAATTCATGCTTTCAACAAAGTAGCCTTGCTGAGCTCCGTAGAAAGCAGCATTTGGGTTGAGAAATACGACTTCTGAAGGTCTGACCATGGTCCGATGCTCTTCCGACACCTTTTCACTATCCTCATACCTGCGCGGACGAGCTTTCAGATTGCGCTTACGGTTGGCACACATTTTCAAGCAGCAACAGCAAGATAAGCATTATATTTGTACTATCACTCATAAAGGTTTACTTCCGGAGCTCTTGTAAGTGCTTGCCAAAATACGGTCCTAAAAACTACATTTCGAGTTTTTAGGCAATTTGAACATCGGCCTTGAAATCAAGGCCGTAAAGGCATAGGAACGAATATGGAAGAATGGAATCTGAGGGTTTGCCCACTTCTTATAAGTCATCGTAAAGGTTGGCAAAATGAAACAATACAACTAATTACGACAGCAAAGCATAATGAAGTGTCGGATCGGCCGCTAGAAACCGAGCTTAAGCAAGTTTCTAGTGAATAAAAATATCGATTGATCGTATTTTGGAAAATATGCTAGCGAACAATTATTATTTTGATTTTGTTGTCAAATCATCAATTAGCAATGCTCATTATTGTCATTCGAACTTGCTCGAATAATCGAATGGCTGGGCATGCCCTATTCGACTATCCAAATAATCGAATAATAAGACATGGTCAAATTAAAAATCGAAGTAATCAAAGCAGTGGGCAGACGAATATTGAAGTGTTCGCATTTTAAAATGCAAGAGGTTAAGAACAACTATATGTTTGAAAATTTTACGTAGAATCTTATATAGTGGATAAACAAAACAATAAGCCATAATATAGCTTTTCATCCCCTCTCTAATGATTCTTAGCGAAAAAGTCCACTTTTCCAACATCAAATATCATCAAAATATATGCTACATCATACCTTCAGCAATATTTGAACATTTTTCTTTCAGACATTTGGAGCAGTGCGGATTGGGAGTTGTTGAAACATCGAATTTAGCAAACTATCATTTTACTTATAATGATGGACAAGGATTGCTTGATGTTTTTGTGTGTTGCATGCATCAGTTTGTGCGAAATTCATAAAATGAGTTGGAGAAAAAGTCTTGAGCCGCACCCAGTATTTGCACAACATCGTATTCGACATTGGTGGCTCTTAGTGTGTTCTATTCTGGAGTTTTGAGATTTTTTATTACAGCAGCACAGTGTTGAAGCTGCTTGTATCCACAAAACCGAAAAGTATCTGGTATAACAGAAAACACAATGCATGCATTTCTTTATTAGCGCACAACAATCAACGTTTGCCCTGTTAAGGGCACAGAACGCTTTACGCTGATCCCTGTGGAGGAGGGTACCATGGGTAGGCACTAGCGCCATACGTCGGTGGCTGATAACGTTCTGGAGGGATGGGCACACCAAACCATTGTGTCTTTGTTGAACTCATCAACATAGTGGCTACCATGATGTGGAAAAGAAGTGAGCAGCGCATGATGTGAACTGAAAACTAATATTCCCTTATAGCCTTTAAATGTTACGGATAAAAGGGAGGTGAACAAAGCAAAGCTGGGATTGAGGGTCCAGCTAATGGCAGAGAGTGCGAATCAACTAGTTTCACAGCAGATTTTTATAACATTGGGAAGATGTTATCAGCTAGTTGATGAATTAATTCATGATGAATTGAGTTTGACGGAGCTGTTCACAAAACACTGTGCATATGCTTATCGGTGAGAGCTTCACTAAATCTTTTCAATATACCACCGACATTAAGCTTCGGATGTGATACTGGCATAACAGATAGCGACGGCATTCCTGATGATGTGAAAATGGCTCTTTCGTAGCAATGCAAAGTCGTAAAGTATGCACATGTAGAGCGGATATGTGTATATGCATGCTGGTAAGAAAAACCCACTGCATTTTTTGAATTCACCGTTTTTACCAATTTACCTGAAGAACAGAGAATTAGTGGAAGAGGGTAAGTAAATTATAAAGATAGAGATATGAAAAAATAGGGGGGGAGGGTAATGAACTGGCATGGAGTGGAACACGGTTTGTATAACTGTAAGCAATTACGATCTTTCTCACAATGTATTGACAGGGCCCTGTAAAGGCTGATATGCTAGCAAGTAGATCTCGGCAAGTGAAAGTGGGATTGCATTCCGCTTCTTATATTTGCAGAAATCTGCACTAGATGTGTTATCTTTCACTTTGAGTCAAAAGATTTGTGCATAGGTTTCGGAGCTAGTTTTATACACCCATAAGAGTAATTAGTACCGAATACACCCATTGCAATTATGGCAGTGCCCAGTATAACGTTGAGTTCATGCGATTTTATCTGTTTCTAAAATCTCGAGCCTACGATCGTAGACTAATTATTGACTACACTTTGCAAGAAATCGTTATAGGTCACAATTCTGTTTTTTACTTTATCATGTCCAGCTTCTGAGTGACCTTCGATAATTTGTTGGGGTTGTTGTCGACGCGACAGCGCAAATGATTTCAAAAAGAAGAAGAATTCATCTTTTCCGATTTTCTCAGCATACCAAGAGGACACGAAATCCAAGTTTTCTAAGGAAGTAGAGCGTGTGGACAACTGCCTCATCCTACAATGGTAATTTAGAATTCAATCTAAGCGACACCTCACAATCAGTAAAAAAATCGTAGTACCTTAATTGCACAAGCAAGTACAAATGCACTTCTGTTTTCTCAAGCAAGCAGTTCAGCCGCACCAATATGTCTCGCGAAATGGTGGATTTTCCACACACGACTTTAGGTGTGGAAAAACGAGGTAAATGATTTCTGATCGCGAAATTATTTAGTTTGCTCAGGCCGGTCGACTTTGGAAAAATAATCGGTGCGTTTTTGTACCCTTGAAATTAGGGTAATTTTGACCTACCTGCCCTTTGCTATTAGTAGGAGAGATGGAATACCGTACATGACTTACCAGCATATGAGCATCATTGGTTCCCTGTGAAAAAGGAACGATAGCAAAATTGCATTTGGCAGTGCCCTACAGAGTTTCCGTAAAGATGATTAAAGAGGGGGAGAGGTGCAAAGAAGGGGAGGATGTACGTTTTCTATTCAAACTTACAAATAATTTGAATACACAGCCACGAGATCCCAGAAATACAGGGTGTCCCAAAAAAATGTATCGAACGTTTGATCTTCAATAACTTAATAATGGGGTTGTTGTCGACGCGACAGCGCAAATGATTTCAAAAAGAAGAAGAATTCATCTTTTCCGATTTTCTCAGCATACCAAGAGGACACGAAATCCAATTTCAGTTGGGGTTGTTGTCGACGCGGCTGCGCAAATGATTCTCAGAAGAAGAAAAGTTTTTCTTCTGTGATTTCTTCTAGCCTAGATCCAAGAGGACACGATATCACAATTTCTAAGGAGCTACAGCATGTGGATTGCTTCAGCATACAATGGTAATTTGAAATTCAACCTAAGAATACCTCAGAAAGAAATAGAGTACCCTAACTGCACAAGCGAGTACAAGACGCAACCTTTCCGTTTTTCAAGCAAGCAGTTTAGTCGCACCAATATGCGTCGCGAAATGATGGATCTCCCAAACAATAGTTTTAGGTATGGAGAAACACGATAGAAGGTTTTCTGGTGGCGAAATTACTTGGTGTGCTCAGGCCGATCGACTTCGAGAGAAAAAATTGGTGCGTCTTCTACTTTCGAAATTAGGGCAATTTTGACCTATATTCCCTTTGATATAGCTGATTGTACATGAATTACCAGCATGTGGACGTCGATTTGCTGTAAGGGTGCGCTCATACTGATTCCGAAGTCTGAGAACAGTTCCTGCGCAGCGCTCAGTTCGAGCGCTGTTATGGAACTGTTCCCGAACTTCCGAATCACTATGAACTGAGCCTAAAGACGGAAATGCTCATTGGCAGTGCCCTACAGAATCCCCGTAAGGCCTAAGGCATACCTCACGCGATTTGGCACAGGAGCGACTGTAATTGGTCGTTAGCGTCCTTTGTTTGAACAAGACTTGATCAGGACTTTGCAAGAATTTACGAAAGCTGCGCGCCTATACACTTGAAAACCGCCCACGACGAATTTGTGAAATTGTGGTAGAACGCCAAGTCGCGCAGACGTCGCAAATTGATCAAATCGCGCGAGGTATGCCTTAGACCCAAAGATGATTGAAGAGGGTGAGAGGTGCAGTGAGGGGGAGGATGTGCGTTATCTAAAACTTACAAGTAATCCGAAGTTTGTGAGACCGAGCGACGAGACCCCAGGAGCGTAAAAAACCGTAGTGGATCTGGCACGACTGCTAGTGAGTGGGCCATTTCTATCAAACAAAATAGTGAAGATCAGTGACAGAAATAGTCTTTGCCATCTCAACATAATTTCCTCGCTGACAACTTTCACGTCTCTAATGGGCGGTTTCAAAAGTTTACCATTTTTGAAGTTCAAGTTATAATAAGTTTTTTGAGAAATAATCTTGCGTATTTGTATCTCAATCTACAAACATTTGACTTACCGATGAAAAAGTTTTCGCGAAAACTGGAAATTTACTTTGGGAACTCCTGATTTAAGAAGCCATATCTCAAATCAAAAGGATAGCACAAGTTTTGCTTAGTATGTAACTAGTGTCATCTAACAGAGGAAGTCAGCTAAACTGGATTTGCGTTTTAAGATGCGACAAATATATTTGGAATCAGCGTCTGAAGCTGATTTCAAATATATTATGTGTCTCATCTCAAAACGCGATTCTAAGTCACCTGACTTCCCTTGTTAGTGCTACAATCTTCATTTTCTCACGAAAAAACTCCTGCGAAAAAGCTTCACGGAAATCAGAGCATGCAGGAAAAAAACTAGAGAAACGATGGTTTTGTATGATACATATAAGCGATGTTCATCAGAAATGGTGAACTTTCGCAACAATTCACAATCAATTTTTTATTTTTCTGGGATCTCGTGGCTGTGTACTTCAAACATTTTCGAAGAGACTAATTGCTCGCACTTGCTTTGCTTACTTACACAAAAGCATTCTACGCTTACTGTCAATCTGCATGACAGGGTCAATACGTGCACCCACCTTGGATAGTGCGGATAGTGTCTTGAGACTATTTGGATAAGTACTGACCCTGCCGAGACCCATCGTATTGACAATCAAATACCGACTGCCGCTCGGCGTGTTTGCTGTGCCAGGCTCGGACCGAGTTCGCTCCGGCTCACAAAGCACTTTCTCGGTAACACTTTATGCGCATTCATTCTATCCCATCAGAAGCCGTTTTGCTTAAAAATCTCTAGATTTGCGCTACAAGCTCTTTATCATATTTATTTAATATTTTTCGCCTTTTTTCCGATTCGAGAATTTCTTCTCGCGCCTTTGCTACTAACAATGAACCAAAAAGCGCCTTCCTCTTCAAATGCAACAAATCTGACCCTCGTCATCGTAAAACTGCTCGCACTGCTCATCCATAGCCATTAAAACGGTTCTGTGAGGTTGCAAACCATATGCGATGAAGAATCTTGTATCATTTCCGTTGTCCAATGCAAAAAGATTCTCAAATAATGCTGGTTCACAAGATCATTTTCCCCATTTTCTGTAAATCTCAGATTTTCCTTTTTGCGAGTGATATGTTCTTGTGGAATTTTCCTTACAGGCCACTGCGTTTATTGTACATCACATCGTTAATTCTTAAGCAAATTTTGGCCAACGGACAGATTATGAATTCTCCAGTTTTACTAAAAAAGATGTCTCCGAAAAATTCACTCTCTGCAAATTTTAAACAAAGGAGAGAAATTAGAAAAAAATGTAACTAGTAAAACTAGTAAAAAAAATTAAATTTTGTCTTTATAGCTTGATAGAAGTATAAAAACTAGTGATCAATAGGTTTTTTTTTACAAAAGTGTAAACATTGTGAAGAAGGCCCTTTATGACGTGTTGACTTCATAAATCAATGTTTATTTTGATCAAGCATAGTGCTTTCAGCACATCTCTGATAAAATCTCTGATAAATTTTTTCTGATTTGGACATCCTCTCCACTTTTTAGCAGGAAGTGAACATCCGGTAAAAAACACTGCATTTGCTAAGTTGAAGATTTACAAGTCTGAGTCAATTTGTAGTGACAAAAAGATGGTAAATCTGGAGAATGAAGTAACTTTCCACTTAGAAGTTCTATCTGAATAAAATCAGTTCAGTATTGTTGCCAAAAAAGCAATTTTCTCTTTTTTCTCCCATCTTCTTCTTTCTTTTTCTCCCAAATGACTTAGATCCTCTATAGTTACAGATGATGCGATTACTCCCGTTCCTGCTCCTTCTGCCCATATGCACATCTCTCAACATCTTGCTGTTCTTGTTGGGTACAAACCAGTTCGAGCGCAACACTTTCGAGTTCCTCGCTCAACAGCTTGCACTTCGACATCACAATGTAATCACTGTAAAGCCAATACTTGTCCCCGAAGAGCCACGACTAGTCAAACCAAAACTTCATCTGGTCAGGGAGAAAACATTGAAAAATCTCTTGCCAAAGTGAGAAATCAGTTGTAATTTTTACAATGAAGTGTGAAATCTCAAGGAGATGTAAATATTCAGGGATTTGTACGAAGACTTGGAGAAGGCTGGGGATGTGATACCATGGAAGACTGATTACGAGGAAGAAGCCTATGATGAGATTTATTGGACTGCTCATAACGTTAGCTGTTATAAGGTATGTGAATTTATCTTTAGCATTCGCAAAATTAAATCAATGCAGTTCGAAAGCCTTACTTTCAAATTCGGAAGTGAAAGTATTAACCAAAAATGTGCGCACTGATATTCATGATTTTGAAAATCTCCACAAATTAGGCAAATTTAAAGAGAAGGTTACCAAGATCTATTAATTAAGAAATTGCTACTTCAAGATACAAGACTGTAGTCAACAAGCTTACCAGCTTTCCAAGCTTCACGATTTACCATAGTTTCTATGTAGCCCATCAATTTTGCATCTATGCGTTATTTTAGAATATAATAATTTGATTCAATTCATCTTATATATAAAGCTGAATGTCTGTTTGTCTGTACGTCTGTCTGTATGTATGTCTGTACGTATGTTCCGAATAGAAAATTCCATTTCTCAACCGATCCGGACCAAACTTGGCACACATACACATCGGGCCCCGGCGGGTGTCATAGGCTACTTTTCGTCATCGATCGATATCGATTTTATCGATTTTTTACAAAATTTGAGCTACGGGGCTGGGAGTTGGCACAGGGGGGGGGTAATCGAGCATGCTGATCACCCCCGTGGGGGTGATCAGCATGCTCGATTACACCCCCCTGCCAAATTCCAGCCTCCTAGCTCAAATTTTGCAAAAAATCGATAAAATTGACATCGATCGATAACGAAAAGTGGACTGTGACACCCGCTGGGGCCCGAAGTGCATGTGTGCCAAGTTTGGTCCGGATCGGTTGAGAAATGGAATTTTCTATTCGGAACATACGGCGGAGCCGGGTAAGCCAGCTAGTAATATAATAATTCAAAAAATAATTTCCCAACAATAAGTTCGCTTCGAGGCGATTTGGAAGATTACTGTTAAGCAACGATTTTTCGGACCGTCATAGATACCTTTGAAACTTTTCCTGATTTCTTTTTGAATACACGAGCTGTCTTGGAGTTTTCAATCAAAAATTAGGTAGGTCCGGTAAAGAGGTCAGCAATGCTACAGTGTGCGTCGGACGCGTAGATCTATCGAAAGAAATAAAACACTGAAATACTCTCAATTTTCAGCGTTGCTTTGTTCAATAGCCTCAGATGACGAACCTTGAAAAATCTCAAAATTCAATCATATCTTGAAATAATGCGTAAGCAATGCAAGGACAAGTGCAACCATCTCTAAAAAAATCTCGAATCTCGATCTAGCCATTTTAAGTTACTTTCAAACTAAATTTGAGAATCTTTGGGTCTTTCACCTTTCTAGTGGATCAAAAATTGGAAAAACGCTATTTGAGAGTTTGCATTCAACAGAGTTCTGTTGAAGCGATATGACAATGTTGTATCTGCATTGAAAACATCTAGCAAAAGTAAGGTTTTTTCTCTTTCTCACTTAGATCATTTCAAGCAGATGTAATAATTTGGGAAAGCTACGGAATTTAAAAAATTCTTATGTTCCACGTAACAAATTTTTTCGTTTGAAGACGAAAATTTCGCAGCTTGATTCTGCCTCAGATAGTGCGAGTATTTGAACGAAGTCTGAAATAATGTGGTATTTTTAGTTCTAAGTTTGAAAATTTGGCAAGTCATCCTAAAAACGCGGTGCATAGTATTTATAGGGTCGAATGTGCTTAGTATTCAGTGTGGTCCGAATAAACTCTTTTTTGAAAACTGAAATCAATTACAGATGATCAACTCGAATCTGCTTGACACTTTGAAAAAAGATGCCATTGATGTGGCCATTGTTTACTCAGGCAATCCATGTCAACTCGCTTTGGCGCATGTGTTAGCAGTTCCTGTAATCTACTACGATCTCGAAGGTGGGTCAATCAGTTGGGTTAATCGTCACAGTCAAGCAGTTTCCTGTCTATTAAATTGTAACGAAAGTTCTGTCGCACCATTTTCGAAAATTCATGATTTGTTGTCCTAAAGGCAGTGTTCAGGTTAAATCTAACTCCCTCCAATTAAGGTCGATTCTGAATGTAGGTCCCATGAGAGGGCATCTGTGTTGGTCCGGTCCTCCAATGATTCTTTGAATGGAGATAAGGGACCTGGAACAGCCAAAGTGCTATCGGGCCCTGCCCAGATCCTATCAGACTCCGCCCACCCATGTACTGAAAGCCGCCCATTTTCAAGACAGGGTCCTCAGGTTTTTGTGGGATAACTGTAAACAGGGCCACGGAAAGGCACCGGAATGGCAAAAATATGGGACACAAAATTTTGCGTGGACGCTGCCTTAAACGGATTTGCTTTTGCTTTGTTATCAGAAGAATAGATCACGCACTTTATTGTACACTTAATTTATATATTCACTTCATATCTTCTACTTGAAAACTTTATAATGTGCACATATTAGATAGGTTATCTTGGTGAAAAGATTTTACTCGAATCTTTACTTTTCTGCTTGGTCCTTAAAAATCTTAGGTTCGACTAGGAAAAACTGGAGCAGCCGCTGCTGTGAGTTCTATCACCTGCATCCAAATGAGCAAAGCTTGCGCGAATCGTATGAATTTTTGCAAGAAATTCCAGACCTTAAAATGATTTTGATTAAGCAGTTAGAAGCCAAACAACATTGAATTCAGCGAACATGCTTTGAAGAACATGATGCCTTGAATTTACTAACGTTAGTGGCAATCTAGGACAAAGCAGAGATGTGGTTTTCCATATTAAAAAATCAAGTCAACAACCGAGTTGCCTGAAAGTTCAAAAAACTCCTGGAATCACATTTTAAAATCAAAACATATTTCGATTTGTTTCATATCTCGATTATTTAGAGGTTGACGATAAGTCTTAGGTCAGTTTCAAAGTTGAAACGAAAGTGCTGTAGAGTTTTCTAGACCTCAGGAATGAACAAAAAGGATAAAAATTGATATTTTTAGCATGGCAACAAGCTTCAGCAAGCCTTTCGTGTATTAGATCGTTATTTTTGACACTAAAACGTAAGCTACCGATTTAGGCCTCTCTGATGAAACCCTGATAGCGTCGAATTCTCCGCTTGATTTGAGTGCACCTCCATCGAAATGCTTCCTACCTGAGGTGAGTCATCAACTGTCATATAAAGTGACAAATATAATAATTTCAGATAAGCTCATCCTATGCACTTTCACGGCTACGCAATGGAATCTGCTATTTGAGAGAGTATCTCGTACAAAGTGGCATTCCTCTACTATCAAAACTGCTTTCTAAAAAATATCGTCAGCTTGACGATCCCATTTCTACGATGTTCGCAGAGGACTACGAATTTAAAAAGAGGTGAGTGTGTTTTAGATAATTTTTCGAATTTTCTTCTGAAACTGATGCATTTTAGATTTACCGGATTTCCTCTTACTACTACGTTATTGCAATCCAGCTCCTTATTTTTCGCCAACACCGATCCTCTGCTTGAGTATCCACGGGCTCTTTCGCCAAGAGTAATTCCTGTAGGAGGACTACATATCGACCACCCTAAGCCACTATTCGCGGTAGGATCACCAACTTCTTTACATCTTTTTTAATGTAGCGCTAAGATATACAAGATCTTTTCAATCGTTATTTATAAGCTAGATATGTGCCTAAATGCAAAAAAAAAGACGGAGCTTATAATGCTAAGAAGATAGCGCTATATCTTCAGTGAAGATGAATGATTCTAAAAAGTAGAGCTATTCGTCTACTAGTTAAACGGTTGCTCAAGCTGATTTCCTGTTGGAACGATGAGGAGCTGATCTTGCGAGGCTAGTAAACTTTTCCGCTCAGCCTCTGACAACCTTGAAATGTGCGCTTGCATCATTTTCTGCTCAAAGGCAGTGCCCATCTAAAATTTCGTCTTTTTTTATCGTTATCGAGCCCTTCCGTGGCGCTGATTTCGGATATGACGTCATCGCTAGTCATCATTGTATGCAACAGGAAACCTCGCAGTGTGCAACAGTGCCACATCAAAAACTATGCGTCTCTACTTTGTTTGTCATGTGAAAACACGTCACGGGGCAATTCGTGGGTGGGTGGAGCGCAAAAAAGGGGGCGGAGCGCAAAGAGGATCCAGGCCCTTTATCTCCTTTTACAGGCAACATTAGGGGATTGGACCAACGCGTTGTCCAATTTTAGTCTAATTTTAGAACCTGCCCGTAATAAGTAGTAAAAGTCTGAGGTGAATAGATTTTGGATGGGCGCTGCCTCCAAGTTTTGAATAGTTGTAGACTCAGCAGTGTTTGACTTTTATGTTAGACAATTTTCGTTACCAATCTCGACTTGATTGACCTGTTTTTCCCATTTTCTCATAAGAATAGAAGCAGTATTTGTATTTTTTTGAATCCTGCATACTCTCCTAGTCAGGTGTTGATTAACGTGTTATAACAAGGCTAAATTTGGTTTCATCTCGTTCCCAGTCTGTAAGGTGATCTTGAATGATCATATCTTTGAGCTAAGAAATGAAGACGGATCTTGATTTCTTAGCTTCAGATTCCGGAGAAGTTGTTATAACAAAAGGTGCACTGCAAAAAGAGACCTTATTTTCTTTCACGTCATTTCGGACTTTTTGAAAACATTTAAATCCGTAAACAAAACATTAGTTTCATGCCATGTATTCTTTTCCGCTCAGAACTTTTATTTCATAATTGGACGAATTGTAGAATTTCAGCCTTGGAATACCTCGATCGAATCCGCAGAAGAAGGACTAATCGTTGTAAGTTTGGGTACGCAAGCGAATCATGCAGAAATGAAGGAAGCGCAGGTAGGCATTCGAAGAATATTAGTTGTTGATTTTTTCCTTATACTTTAGCAATTAAAATTATACTGAAAGTAAGAATCCGAAAGGATATTTTTCGGAACGTCAGGTCAACAGAATCATAATGATCAACCATGAAAGATGGCAGAACATTTTCTGAACAAAGTTCCCCCATAGCTTTTGAGTTTGTGAATGATCCTTAATAATTTGACTGTTGTAATGGAAAATTTAAGACCTAGTTTTTGAATTCGTTAATGAATTCTTGATTCTCATTCTTGAATGGAATCAAAAATTATTCCATTACTCTCTTCCACGAATCATTTTCTACTTATTCAGCTTGCACTCTAACTCATAATAATGAACTAGGCTTTGAAACTGCTCTCAAGTGAGCTTGAAACTCCGTGGAAGAAACAAGAAAAACGACAACCATTCATACTGATTTTCGTATTTATGAGAGAAAAGATCAAAGATACGTCAATGTTAAAACAACAACCACTTTACATCAATATCGCGCAGTGTTAATAAGTTCTGCTTATTGTTAGGTCAAAGCTATCCTTGGAGCTCTTTCGAAACTCAAAAAGTATCGAATTTACTGGAGAATCGGCCACAAAGTGCAGCTGAAAGGAGTTAGAGAAGAAGATGTTCCACCACATATAAATCTCACTGCTTATATACCTCAAAACGATTTGTTAGGTAGGTTTTGATAGTTCTTTCGCTGAAGCTTAAAAGTTTATAGAATTTCAGCTCACAAAAGTTGTAAACTGCTCATTACCAATGGCGGTATGTCATCATTAATGGAAGCAGTGGTTTATGGTGTTCCAGTGGTTGGAATACCGCTTTATGGAAGCAACAGGCATAATCTTCGCAAAGTTGTAAATAAGGTTTGTATCTGGTATTATCTTCAGCACCCAACAATGACCAACTTTTACTCAGGGTCTGGGACTAGTGGTAGGCAAGTACGAACTCACCGAACAGAAGCTCCTCAGTACAATCAAAACGGTCTTGCAAGGGACAAAGTAAGTTGTTCGGGCAAGAATTTACAGCGATTAGTGTACAAAAAGTTCAAATAACTTCACTCTTCGAAATCAGAAACGCAGTCTTTTCAATTTAAAGCGCAGGTTACTGATGAGACATCCCATTGGCGTTTGCTTCTCATTCATGATGATGTATTTAGAACGAGCTGGCATACCGGGTTCCACCCGGTTTGGAGCCAGTCTATCGTGCTTGACCTCTCATGCAGCGAAACTCATCCTTCTTTTATTGGGCTGGAAACTAAGTTTTGCATCTTCTTTCAAAACTTTACTCATTTTGGATTTAACGCACTCAAACTTTGACAGTGTGTAGAGCGTGAAGTGCTCCAACAACGCACAACCGTTTGAATTTTGAACACGAATTAGAAGAATTGCAGGCGTTTTTCAAAAATTAGTAAAATTCGGGAATTTTTGGGGTTTTGAGCAAATAAAGCTTTCAGCAGCCTAGACCATGCGCAATAATCCGGAATCGTGTACGAATTATTGCTAAAGGTTAGCTCAATCGGCTCGACAAGAAAAAAATAAAGTTTAATAGCATGTCGAGATTTGGCGTAATCACAAAATCGAAAGAGCCTGCTGCACCCAAGGCTGCTGGGGACAACCGTCAATGACTATGAAGTCAGAACTTCAAAATTTGCCGAGACTTCACATAGCTAGGTTATTTGGCCTGCCAAACACGAATATCATATTCGCTTGTTGAATTAACGCCTCTTTTCTTGTTTAGAGTGAGACCCTATATCGAATGCCTATAGTAATCTCACAAAAAAACCCTAATCACGCAACTTCAATATCGTTTTCGTGATTAGGGTGTCGGATAACCCTTCTATGCCAAGTTTCGCCAAATCTGTCAAATTTTACAATTTTCCCCCTACACAATATACCTACCGTAACCCTCACTGCAACGTCAGAATTTGGCAGAACAGCAGCTGCGCTTGTAGCTTACACCATGACCTATACAAGAGCATAATTTGAGTGTGCCATATCGAGAGGGAGGGAAGTTATTGAATGAGTTGCAAAACTTATTGTTAATTTCCAACCTAATAATTCCGACTCGTCCTGGGTTCGCTTCCTACCGTCCTAACCATGTCTTGATGACCCAGATCAAAATGAGCTCCATCGCTCAACCTTCGTGACTATGGGGAATGTGCACAGACATACAAATTTTCTACTTTATTATCATAACTTATAATAACGGGCTAAGGGTTGTTTACGTTTGTCTGTCTGTGTGTGTGTGTGAATCTCTGTCTGTCACGAAATTCGTAGAGCGTGTTCCAGCCAACGTCCTGAGCCCAAATTTTGCACAGCGCACGCTACCAGCATGAAACCTCAATATACAAAAGCATGAGCGGATCCGTTGAGTGGATCCATTGAAAATTGCGCGTCAAACGGATCCACTTGGCTTCTCGCCAGCAAATTTGGGTCCGTAGTACTACTTTTTGCAGAGTTAAGGATATATTCGACAAGCTAATGTGCAAGCCATGGACGTTAGCCTAAAAAAGTCATGAAAAGTCTACTACTCTACGAAAACAGCGCCAAAAAGCATTCGCTGTGTAAACGGTCAAATATTCAAGATTTTACCTGATTATTTGAGAAGAATTTTGCACAGAGGTGTAGCCCACTATGTCTATTGTCCTTACGGCGACTACCAAGCCATAAAAATTCCAAAAGCCCATTCGAATTTGCATCTGTTCTTCTGGGAAAGATTTTATCCACGCGAAAATACCGATCTCACATGGAAGACCTCTACGAATGAGTAGTTGTTTACGAATTATTCGTGATAGCCTACATAGCGCGGTGAGTTTCAATGTCATTATTATGCGGGAATGAGTAAGGCATACAGAGCATAGGGCCAGTGCGAGCCTCTGCGAAGCAGAGGTGACGCACTGGTATATATATATAGAGAGAATACAATAATAATTCGAGCATAGTGCAAAACTACGCAAACGCTATTGCAGGAACATTCAAAAATCTCATACAATAGAGAACTTCATAATGCATACATCCTTGGTCCGCATTATAGTCGAAAGATCGAGAGAATTTTCAGTCATTAACCAGAATTGTTGCAATTTCGCTAGTTCCAATTCTCCATCAAGTCGATAGAATAAGCATTGGATTAAAACTGTTAAGTACAACCTGCAATCTGTGAACAGTCGCATGAAATCGAACTTACTCTATTCTTACATAAATTCACATTTGCTAATCAACATGGTGCAATAAGGGCGCAATGATGCATTTCTTCATTGAGAACACTGAGAAGCTGTCTTCTCAATGTTCTCAATACGATAATGCTGTTTGAAAAACCTTAAGAACATAAAGTTGATTAGTAAAGCCAGCATGCTCCAGAACTCTGATATACAATTTTGCAAACTTTTAGAAACTGTTTCGAAAAAAATATTATTTAGCTGGTTTATGCTAATATTTCTTATCGCTCACAGTAACGGAGAGCGATTGATGATTTACACCATACTGTAAATCTAAGTTGAAGCTCCATAGTTTTCGAATGACCCCGAAAACTGTTCATGCAAGAGAGCTATCAATGATCAGACATTACATTCTTTTGGGACAGCCTCTGAATTAACTTGAACACTTTTGAGCTCCCGAAAAATTTTGTGGTACTTTTCCGTTATCCGAACCCATTTTTTCAGAGAAGGATATTGCTTCTTTCCTTGTACCATATTTGCTCCTAAATTCACAGGAAAGGAGTGTCAACCTTCTGCCACGTGTCAAGAAAAATTTGACATGTCATGCACATGTTTAGCAGATTTTACAAGAGTTTGCATTGCCCTACCTACTGACTTAAGTTCAATCGGTTTTCAATCAATAATGACCCTATTTTGGAGTAAACAATTTCAAAAATCAATATTATCATGATTATGGCGTTATCCTATTATTAACGAACAGACTGGACTTGCTCAGAATAGAGAATTGTGATAGATTCTCATCATCTTAGCGGCGAAACAAGCAGTAGCGAGGTACTTCAGCCATCATTTACAGTCCTTCTTGGCTAGAATCGCATGACGAACAAAGTTTGAAAAGAAAATTTTCAAATTATTCCTCACCGGGATACTTTCCAAAAAAACATGTCAAATTGGACCAAAACGTGTCAATTTTTTTCTGACACGTGGCAGGGAGGCGGTCCTCATAGAATCTACAAAAAATTGTTCTCAAACTAAATAGCGCATTCATGAGAGCTTTTTGAAAAAATGGGTCCGGATAACGGAAAAGTACCAATTTAGTGATGCGCGCATTGGTCTTAGGCATAATTTCGTCCGAAACTCTTACTAGGCTTTTCAACAAACCAAGTGACAGGGCTTCCGAAGAGCAAGCATCTTGCTCCCAGGTAGATTAAGAAGCACTAGCAAGGAGCGAAATCGATAAACACAGGGGACGGAAAAGTATTGTTCCTCGAAACAAGGTTAAAACCGATGTGATTCTCAAGTTTTTTTGATGAATATAGGGATCGAAAAAAGTACTGCACCCTAACAAAGGTAAGAAAAACGAGGTGATTCTAAAATCTTTCCCATGATTCGACATAAACCCCAAGATGTGTACACAATCTAGCGGGTTATAAAATTCTGTAATTTTCCCCGCGTCGGATCCTTTTTCGCAAAGCTTCCCACATCATATATTGCAGCTCTCATTCATAAATGTGAAGAAATTGTGAAGATTTTTGGAGAAGATTTTTTGATTGCGAAGATTTTTCATTTATTTTCCAACGCGAAGTTGAAAAATCTTCTACTGCTTAAGATATCTACTAGAGACCTTATCTTAGTCTAATCTGCAATTTCTCTCCTATGTGTAGGAATTGAAATACTAGGAATTTCTTCTATTTGCGAAGTTGTCTAAGAGGCAAAGGGACAGTATTTTTTCCTCACCTACAATTACCTATTTTGGCCGCCAAAATTGTCCTCTCACAAATAAACGACGGATAAACATATGATACAATAGCTATTACTCAAAAGTTTTCACATTTATAACACTTGTTCAACAAATAATAAGTGAGATTCGGCGAGCGAGCAAGCCGGGTTGAGATGAAAACTGAGCGCCAACCGTACGATAGCACTAAATTGTGTCAATAGTCTCCAACCATTAACTCGTTCATGAGATATAACCGCTATAAGGTGGACTCAATGAACAGATAGAACAAAGTCTTCGAAATCTTCACTTATATAGTTATATAACTTTCAGATTCTCTACAGTAGCTAAAGATATGGCCAAGGAATTCCGCACTCGACCAAGCACACCCTTCGCGACTGCACTGCACTACATCGAACACGTTGGTCGTCACCAAGGTTCAGCATTCCTTGCCCAGAATCCTGTCCATCCCATCGCAACTCTCAATTTTGACATATTCGCTATTATTTTGTTGTTAGCTTATGTTTGCACATCAGTTCTTACTAGGATGCTTTGCATGTTCTGCCGTAGAAAAAACTCATCACAATCACCATCATCGAAAAGCAAAAATGCTAAAAAGAACGACTGAGGCTCAAAAATCACGTGACCAAAGTTTTCGTTTTTATTATTTTACTGGTATCTCTATGAAGACAGGTTATTATGGGATTTCCATTTAGTGCCTAGATGCGAGTTAATGATAAAGTATGAAAGTTTGCAGAGCGCAGGTGACTTCCTCCTGCCATTTGCTTATGAAAATTCGTTACCGTATGCTACCCAACTATTATTTCTCCTATCATAACAAAGCTCTTCGAATCCTCTGAAATTTCACAAAAAATCCCTTTGACCTTTATTGAAAACCTATGGACTTCTCACCCGGCGATTTTGTAGAATTAGGAACATTAGGCCATGCATTGGCCTTCATGCAGCTTGTAAACAATGCAATACTTGCACAATTCTGCCATAGATAAGTTAGCAAATGTTTGTTTACTAAAAAGATGTCCACAATCGAATCATCGGTGCAATTCTGGAGATGTCGCTCACCGAGGCTCAAAATCGCTGCAAAAGGATAAGTAAATGCTTTTCTCTCTCTCTCTC